AGAGAAGAGCAGAGCAAGCAAGCAAGCAGCTGTCGTTCGTTGCTATAACAAATCAGCAGAGGTAGCAACAACAATAGGTAAAGGAGCACAGAAAGGCAAAGAAATCAGGTTGTATGGAAGGGCAAACAAGTTTGGGGCCCTTCTACGTTTTCTGTCGCACCATGCGACCCACGATAAAAATCAGACGAGCTGTAAGGATGCCATTAGCGTAGATCAGCTATAGCAGGCAAATTAACTAACCGAAAAAATATGGTTATCTGAACAAAGTAATACTTTTTAAAAAATACCTATTGATTAACAATATGGAAAATAATATTGCACGCAAAGGAAATTAAAAACAAAATTATTAAAAAAATTAAATTAATTGATTAAATTAAATAAAAAATATTCAATCTTTGTATTAGAAAAAAGAACAAACTCGATCTGACTAGGGCTTATAGGAACCTCGATACCGAGCTGGTTATCCTAGCTCTTGTACTTGCTGAGATCCTTGCGCTCATATAGACAGACAGACGGACGGAGAGACGGACATGGCTTTATCGATTCGTCTTGTCGCCCTGATCAGTAATACACACCCAATTCTGTTGGTGATTTCTTTCTTATTTTATTAAATCACATAAATAAAGTGCATAACGAACCATATAAGAATGGTTTCTAGCTGCTTGTGTTTTTATTTATTTATTTTGTTTTATTTTGAATTGTGCTAAATGGAATAAAGTCGTGTAACTATACATATATAAAACTTTAATTTTTAAACCTTGTTAAATCAAAACCGTGTAAAAACAGAATTAGATGTATATACTTTTAGGGGTCTGCCACGCCTCCGTCTGTGTGTTACATGCATTCGCACTAAACTGGTATACCCTTTTACCCTTTCGGTACAGGGTATAAAAAATTGTAAATTCATTGGAGAATCTAAAAGAGCATCTCCAATAAGCTATAAAAAGTTGCAGCTTTCTCAGTAAAAACCTGGCAATTTTTTTAACAAAAAATTGTTTTTGAAACCAGACTCGTTTTTGTAGTTTACTGTTTGTGGAACAATTATCGGCCGATCGAATTGATATTGCTTCGAATTTTTGTGATTTGCAGCACAGGAGCGCGGATAATTAATACTTTAATATTCAAAACAATCAGCTAGCCTGAAATTTAAATTAAGACCAATTGTCTAACCACTATAGATATGTAGGTACGTTTATATTTTGGTTAAGCGGTTACCGTTAAATTATACAATTTTCGATTAGCATATCACAGTAACACATTGTTCGTAAGAATGTATGTACTATGTATTTACATACATATGTATGTTAATGTACTTATTTTTTTGCGAAATAATTTGTTACTGGGTAGTTCCTACAGAAGCATTCTGGAAATGAGCTCGATGTGAAAGCAACGACGGGCGACCTTCTAGAAATCGATAAATTTTTAATTTCAATATACTACAAACAAACAATCCACAATACGGTTCATGTGGGAGCGGGAGAGATATGGTTATCTGAAAGATGTATCTGATATGCATAAAAGGCCAGAAGAAATGCTCATAAAAAGTTAAGGCGGTCGAGATTGTTGTGGCTGGTATGAGAAAATGACTTGCTCAAGAGCTTAGCCATAGCATAGAAGAGCGGCATTTGAGCTTTTTGTTTTCTTATTGTAGAAGTTTTTATTTTCATTTCCTTTCATCTGTAGCTTCTGCACGATGGTAATACAGACGCTCGTAGCGATGAGTTGATTAAAGTAATTGCACTCAGCTCCAAATGATTAATTCTTTCTGGATGTGCGTGAAAGGGCATAAACGCAGAAGCAGATGGAAAAGTAGTAGAATCATTTTAGAACAAAACAAAAAGAAGCGTGTGAGTTGAATTTAAATAGGAAGAAAATCACATATACATACTTATATGTTATGTCGGCGCAAATTAATCAACACCCACAAACACATTTGTAAATAAATATAAGAAAGACATGCACACACACTGTGCCATCATAATTTAAAACGAAAGACTTGGGTGACGAACTGAGGCAAACCAGGAATTAATATGAAATGAAATATATACAAATTTTACCTAAACTTAAAAGAATAAATATACTATCTGAAAACCAGTTGTAAATCATTATTTATTTCCTTTTTTTGGCATGAGCTTAAGTGGACGTAGAAGTTTGATGACTCACATTGATTTAAATAATGGTGTTGACTGCAAACAAATTGTGCAAACGATCCCAACACTTCAAAGAAATTTAAAGCGGCCCGCATCAAGGTATTTGTCTTTTTGGTTTCTATTTATTTCCAAAATTGTAAGAAGACTTCAACACTGCTCATTAACATGTCATAAACCGCAAGCACAATTTTCTTGTTGTCGACATTTCTTTGCTGAACGACCAGTATGGTTGTTTATGGCACAGTTGCTCAGCTCTTAAATATTTGTGGGGGGTTTTTGTATTTTATTATTAATGAAGACCCAATACATACAACTAACGCTCTCAACATACATATGTATGTATGCACATAAAACAAATGCTTTGTTCTATGTTCATGTAAAAAGACAACATCAAGTGTATAATCGCAGGGTAGACGAAAAAAGAAAGAAACCGCTTAGATTGTGGGCGAGCAATCATGAATGAATGAAAGCTAAGACACGACATTTGACATGCAGTTATTAAAATAGAGGGAGTGAGAGAGAGTAAAAGAGGGACTAGAAGAGGGAGCGTTGGCATAAATGTAACTCAAAGATCATCGAACAAGCCATACTTGTTTGTTGCATTGATCAACTTTTGAAATCAAGTGCATACAATTACAATTGCAGAATGAACAAGACGATCTTGTTGGCGAGTTTTTGAATTTTTCATAAAATGAACCAATGCCAAATCAAACCTAGATGTGCCCGATCGTCAGGGCTTTCGCAATTAATGGCAAAATGGACCGATCGATAAGTCATCTAGACCAGGTACCTACACGCTCTCAACACGTACATGTATACATGGGTAACGGTTTCAGTCTATAATACCAACAATAGCAACAACAGCGAACGGCAGACAAAGTTCAAACGATGCTATCGCACTTTCAATAGCAGTCTACAAAATCTTTCCACAACAAAACTAGGCGAGTGTGTGTGTATGAGTGAGTGTGTGAGAGAGAGAAGAGTAAGCTAAAACAGATTGCAGACCCGTCGCCGTTAATGTCATCACGTACATACATATGTACATACTGTATATGTATAGTACTATATGTAAAGCTTACTTGATCGTGCTAATCCGTGGCGCTGATGATCAGGGCCAGGCAAAAAGCTAGCCAAGCCGAGCAGGTATGCAGCTTTTAGGCAAATGGCCTGATCATCACCAGTAACAAGAAACAATGCAGAGCCCACAGTTGCAGGCATATCAACATGACGCGATTGACGGTAGAGAGAAATTGTTGTAAAAACCGAATACTTGTCTCATTTTTGGCTTTGGGTCCAAAGCGCCCTCAGCTAATTCATACATAACAAAATTTAAAGAAAGGGGGAATGAGAGAGAGAGAGAGACAGTTAGCTTAGTGATCCCCAAACCAATACATAAATCAGTTAGGTTAATAGTAAGACAGTCAGGTCAGGTTATTCAGTTCAGTTGACTGGAGGCATTGTGCTGAAGACATTACATTCCAGTAGGCAGAAAGCAAGGACCAACTTGATCAGATCGCAATGAACACAAAATGTAAATATCACATGAAAACAAATAAATAAAATCCAATTTCTGGTTGGTAGCTCTACAGCTAAGTAAAAATTTCAATAATTCAAATAAAGGAAAGCATTAATAGAATTAACGTATGTATGCATTGTGAAACTCACGGATAATCACCCTAATTAGTAGAGTGTAGAAGTAATTATATTGAATCCTAGAGATTAATTCACAAGATTGCTTTAGCTTTTGAAAAAAAAAACCTATGTATGGGATGTTTATACGATGTACGTTACATACAAGAGAATGCGTTTGTATTATTCCGAAAAAATTGGCGATGCTATGCCTCTAAAACTGATCATCTCTAAATCAATTTGAAGTACGTACATATGTAAAAGTTTAATTATTGTATCCCGTTAACTATGTATATAGGGATGAAGAATGAAAATCAGTTCTATACATAGGTAACGGACGAAAGGGCTAGTATATTAAATGAAATATTCATGTCTTCCTGCTTGAATACCGTTTCTGCAACGGCACGTTTAACGACGATTGCGCACAGCCATTATGTTTTGACAGCCAGTCAAAGATATGCGCACTACACTGTCTCACAACTGTCTCTATATTTTAGTAAAAGTTATGCGTTGTGTACGTGCCGTTGTTTTTTTGGCAGCTTTTTGTTTTGATTTATCGCCAGACCAGCTACAAAAATAGTCAAACATCTGACAACACTGCAAAATTGTGTACGCAGCTACAAATTACCAAACGCAAAACGGATTTTAACCTAAAAATGAATCGAGCAAGCGAAACGCACGAACCACGGTGTTTGTCAATAGAGCACCACTTCCCTCTCCCCCCCCTTTATCGTTGTCTTCTTTGTCGTTCCTGGCTTGGAGCGAAATGATCTGCAAAGAATGTCAGCCGAAATTGTACGGGAGCGCTGTGTGCTTTGGTATGCCGAAGCTTTTGTATTGCATTTAAAAAAGAAACTGGCCGGGCCTATTGTTTCTGCTTGTCGTCTAGACAATTTTCGAGCTAAAAATGCGCAGGAGACGTCCCTTTGGCGTTCGATCTTTAAATTGAATTTCTTTGTTCGTCCTTGAATTTGCAATTTTGATATTTTATAGACGGCCAAATCTCACACCGAATTGAAGTATGAAAGTATCCTGCTACCTTCAAATCCACACACAATTTATGGTAATTTGTGTTCTTCGCAAATCATTTGCACAATTGCTGGTACGTTTGCTGCCTATTAAGCAGCTTACCAGTCCTTGTATATCGGATCAAATATAAAGACAAAACACAAAATTCTCTACTGAGTGGATACTTGATGAAATATGTACTTGGATACTTACGAGCAGTAGGACTTTCCATTGGTCTGTGTGATGCAGGTGCCACCGTTCTTACAGCCTATGCTGGTGCATGAAAGTGCTTGAGTGATTTCTGTAAGGAAAACCAATATGTATTTATACATGTATCGTATTAGTTGGTTCATTAAGAAATAATGAAAATATATTATATTATAAAGAAGATAAAAAAAATGTTTTCATGACAAAAAAGTGTTATTATTATTTTTAGAGGATTGGATACAGGGTATGTAAAAGTCGGGCGTAATCAAAGCTAAAGAACGACGAGTGCATTAATATAAGTAATAACTACAGTAATGTGCATTGTAAGCCACGAGCACGATAATTGAAGGAAAGAACGAAGTTTATAAAAGGGGTCCGAGGGTAAAAACTTTGCAGTTTGCGGAATAAATTCAGACACAGAGAAAAAGAAAAGCATATGAGTGATATGTGTATGTATAGTTGGTTGCTTGGTTTGTGTTTTGTATGAATATTTTATTGAAAATAAAAGCAGCAAACGGTATAAATTAAACAAACGTGCCGCTGCAGGGCGAGAAGCGTTCCCAATGTTTGCTAATTGGGCGTGTGGCGATTTCCTGTGTCGGCTGGTGGGGTGGCAATGAATTATGCGAGACGGGATCGCCGACTTCAGCAATGGGACCTCGACTCTGACAATAAGTTCTGATTGCCGGCAAAATAAATAAATATCTTTGTTTCGAGCTGACAGTGACGCAAGCGATGTAGAATGAGAGGGAGCTGGAGAATGCAGTAGGCGTTATTCATCAAATATGAAACACGTTTCGACTTACGAGCGGTGGCAAGAACAATTTGAAACTCTTTTTTGTCAGAATACAATAGCCAGGCCCGTTTCTTTTCTGCTGACTTGCATACAAATGCAGCAAGAACAACAACAGCAGCAATGACAAAAAGTGCTTGTCTCAAATTTGAAATAGCATAAATTCGGCATTTTGATGATCGATGGCAGCTCGAATGCAAGGGTAAAGACGTGGGGCTAGCCAATAATGGCGACATAAATCTCCACAGAACGTTCAGCTATGCTTATATATGTATGTACTTATATTTATATTTACACCTAACTCTGTTTTTACACGGTAGATTGGTTCCAGAAAAAGTCGTGTAAAATAAAAACCGTGTAAAAAAAAAACATTAATAATATGTTATTTTGAATCGTGCTAAATGGAATAAAGTCGTGCAACCATATAAAAAAATATACAAAAAAGACAGTGTGAAAACATAATTAGGTGTATATAGATGTAGTTTTATGATATTAATAGGACCACGGCTGGATGAGTAAATTGTATTTGATGGTGAGTTTCTAATTCGAATTTCTTCGATTCAATTTCTTTCTATGATGGCCTCCGTCGTTCCAGTCTTAAATTGGTAAGTCTGGAGTACTTAAATTATCGCATTATTAATGCTTTCAAGCAACATTGAAAACGACGAACGAGCAAACGAACAAATACAAATGTAAGCAACATGCTGATTGTCTTAATTTTGCAGCAATGTGCAACTGTTTATTTGTGTGAGTGCGTGTGTGTAATCTAAACTAATTGACCTCAATTAGCGTATTGCAAAAGCGTACGGGCAGGGTACGTACGTCGCTGACATCGTCACACACAGCAGCAGAAAACAGATACAAAATCTGTATATCTTCAACAAACTAAACGACATCACATTTGGGACTCGTGCGGTGTGTGCCTCGCCCAACAAACGACATTTTACGGAAGGACAAGACATGGGAAGGCGACGTAAAAAAGATTCATTCCAGACACCATTTGAAGACCTTTGGGTATGAGTTTTTGAACTATGAGCTACAATAGTTCGGGCGAAATCCAGTTCCTATAATTTCCATGCGTCACACATACATAAGTATGTGTGTATAATGGCACATTTTGAGTGAACAGAAGCGAAATAAACGTACATTTTTAAGCCTAGCTATACACATTTTGCATACTTCAATCTCTTGAAGAAATCGGTTTATAAATGAGAAAGTTATTGCGTAGAACATACAATTTTACAGGAAAGGGATCAAGCAAATATTTTTCTTGATTCACGAATTTATTTGTTCCCCCTAAAAATATGTTATGGGCTCCAAGACACTTCCTTCAGCCGACTATATTTTTTACGAGTTGGGTATAATAATTAAGAAACTATTCAAGGTTGTAACAAACCGAGTTAACAACATCTACAATGAAGAATATATGTCACATGGTAATTATAAAAATATAGGATATTTAAAAACACATGAATACATAAAAACGGTGATAGAGATTTAGCGCGAGCGCAGTCGACGAAAATACTTGCTGATCAAATGACATCTTTGTTGTTGTAGAGAGTATATCACAGTAGCCCAATTCAGCAACACAGCGTGCCGCCGACCACACCCCCTAATCATTTAGTTAAAAGGTAGGCACTTGATTTTAATTAATTTAAAGTGCGCGTGTGAGCGAAGGAGGGAGCTTCTCATCGCTTCATCGATAGAGCGTGAAAACGTGGCTTGTTTTTATAGCAAGTGATTTACCGCACATTTAGAGGGAAAAACTGTAACAAATAATTGTGAGCAGTTAGCTAGTTGCCTGATGAATTTTTGTGTGCGTACACATTGAAACGAACGCTTGAGGGTGCAGGCAACTGTGACGTACGATGTGTAAACACTTTGGATAAATAAGTTGCATTGGCTGCCAATTAGTCAAATGGGGAATGGTAGGGGGACGAAATCGGACTAATTGTCTGATAGTATAATTGAAATAGAGCATGGCTCTGATATTTGACATTACTCTGAGCAGTATTCTCATTCTATGGGAAACAGAGACCAGAGCAGAGCAGAGAGGGAGCATAAGCGGCCGCTTATCGAATTACGAATTATTCGTTGCGTTTAATTTGGTAGACGGTTAACGCTATCAGCATATGGAACAACATTAAAATAAAACCACTATGGTAGCAACAACAACAAGATGTCAACAACAAATCGACAATATTTGTGTATACAAAAACTAAAACCACGGCCAACAATTTCTCACGCTTTTCTCCAACAATACAAAAAAAAACTGAGACCGTCAGTCAACGGTATCTAAAAACCGCCGCATATAAGCAATAAAAAATCATAAGAACTCATTAATAAGCATACACAAAAATAGTATGTGAAGTTAAAATCTAACTACACACTACATGAATTCTAATTACGAGGACACTGTAAATATTCAAACACTGAGAATTAAGATGTTTGTCTTTTAAGCAGAAAGTTCTTTAAGCGCCCAGTTTCATGTTCGCAAAAAAAATAAACAATTCCCTGTACATGTATAGGACGGACGTATACACGCATACATACATATGTATTAACATACTGTGGTCGAAATGTGGGTGTATCATGAATGAGATAAAGTTGACAAAAATGCCTAAGCCGAATTTTCTCTCCAAGCGTTTGTCGAGTTTGCCAGGTAAAAAAATCCCCAGCATTCCATTCTGTGTTACAGTCAACTAGAGCTGCAAAATAATTGATAATTGATGTTGACTGAATTGTTATTTTTTGATTTTTTGGATCACTTTCAAGTAATGATGTGCTCATTTAATTAAGCATTTGACTTTATACGATTAATCGATTCTTCATAAAGAAAAATCGGTGTATAATAATATGCACATGTTCCTTCCTTTGTAAAAAAAAAATAGTTGTTGTGTATAGTAGTTCCTACATACTCGTTCATTTATGCAAAAACAAAAACAAACAATTGTAATAGACGAAATAAAACTGTAGACGCCTATGCGAAAAATTCCGAAAGTCGTGCAATTTATATAAGTAGTTTATCAGCTGCAGTAATACCCTTTTGGGCGCCACAACCGCAACAACAATTATACTGTAGACATGATATCGGTAGTAGCTTGCGCTGGGGTTAGCTGGCAAGTTGAAGCATGTCAAAACGACTGGCTTTGTGTGTGTTTCACATTAAATGTTACGATGAAATATTTAAAAACTATGAAACAATACGTATTTCTATGACACACCCAGCGTTGAGTTTATACAAATTGCTCGAACAACTGTCCATATGTATGCATGCATATATGTATGTATGTACATGTATGTATGTATGAAGACTTTTCGGCTAATCAAGGTCAGCAGTTGCGTGTTTAGATGGTTTTGTGGCTACCACACCAACCCTAGCTCGGTAACGTACTTTTAATTCTCCTTGTGAAACTTAAATAGAACTTAAAGAAATGGTCAAATAAAAACAGCTCGAATACAAAATATGTAAATAGAAATATTTTTGAATTTTCACCGATATGGGCGTGGGAGCCAAAATATTATTCCAATCTTATCAAAATAAGAATGCAGTGTCAGCTTGAGAAGCGACAGCAAAGCTGGGAAGTCGTGCTTAAACTAGGCAGAACTGATAAAAAACGCCAAACGACGAATTGCGTCGTAAGTGTTGCAAGTGATAAAGGAGCGACAGCTGTGGCGACGACGTTCTGGGGCAACGAAAATTTTCACAGGCCCAGCCTTTAAACGCCCACTAATTGATGCGCGGGGGGGGGGGGGGGGGGGAGGTGGCTGCAAATAAAGCGGGACATGAAATAAAAATAAATAGTCGCTACATAAATAATTTGTAGTGGAAACAACGAATTAGTGGACAAGATAACTACGCAGAGGCGTTGGGCAAGTTGTAATAACGGCAGTAGCAGCAACAACAACTACAACAATACCAAAATGCGGAAAGATTGTAAAGTGTTAATGAAAAAGTAGCTAACTGGCAGACCTACTCTAAAAGAGAGGAAGGCGGGCAGAGAGGGGAAAATGAGCATAAAGTCGTAAGCGAAAAACAAGTGTGGGAACCAACTTGGCGCCGATCGAAGACCGATGCCGACAACAACGTCTATGTATAACTGAAGCGAAGTGCGCGCACCGAGTATTGCACCTTTACACCATCCCACCCCACCACTCCCCCAACATCCCTACCATCTCACTCTCTCGTCACCATTGCCGCGTCTTCGTCTATTGTTGTGTATCGGAGTCTGGTTGATTGGATTGTTCGGATCGCGCGTCTTCAGCTTGATATATTAATAGGCCAGTAGAGTGAGGCCCTC